TTTTTTTTTTTTTTTTTTTTTTTTTTTTTTTTTTTTTTTTTTTGATTTGAGCTCATTTTTGACTTGAAATAATCCAGGACTTAAGCCGAAGGTACGTTGTATATAGATACAATATATATTGTAATATTTTTTTTATCTTTTTCGAGCTTTGGAACAATGAACAATCAATTTCAGTTGTATCGCGAGCTTTTGAAAAAGGATTAATTGAAAAGGATTATCGACACGTGAAGTAGCACAATTAATCTAGATGTGAATTGTTTATGTATTATATTACATATATTTATTATTTATTAAACAGATTAAAAGAAATATCAGCTGGTTTTGTAACTAATGCAAGGCAGATATTTAAATGATTATAGCTCAATATATGATTTAAATATGATTATAGGTTAATTAACACTAAATTAATACTTAATAATTTAATGAGTAATTAAAATAAACTTTATGATACGTGAAGGAACGTCATTCAAGTATAAATAATAATTATGAATTCATAAAGTAATAAATTTAATGGTAATGTTGTTAAATTTGTCGATTCAAATTTACTCGCCATTAAATGTAATTGCAAAGGATACAAAAGCTTGCTTAGCCATTGATTAAAGACGAAGAAAAAGAATTTAAAATTAGCGTTAATAACGTCAGTGTATTTACGTAGCAAACAGTAACCAAGGACGAACCAGAAGAGACTCCGATGGCAGAAAGTTATGAGACTCTTCAAACCTATTGTCCACCTTCATTTAATCGAGATTTCTTAAATGAATAATTCAAAATTATCCTTCGGCGATAATGTTTTTTGAAACGTAGCTTCGGACAATCATTAGAAATTTATGAAATTAATTATATTTCACAAGTATAAAAAGTTTATATAAAACGTGTATCGTAAGAATACATTCATAAAAGAAGTATTAAATAAATTCATTTCATACAATGTTTAATAATATAAATTAATTACATTGAATGATATACATTGATAATTCATATCTTTTCTTTCATTTTGCAGTATTGAAGATATTCTTTCAACATATCAACCCTTTTCAATTTTTAATTGCATTCTTTCTGAAATGTTGCAAAGAATGATTTTCAAAAAAAGAAGAAGTTAAAGCTTCTCCATGAAATTCTAAAAGCTAACAAGAATCAATGAAACGACGTAGCACCGTCGGCAGACTTCGTATTTGTGAAATTTCTTCGACGTCCGGAAATGAAAAAGGTTTTCTCTCCTACACGTCTGAGTATGGGATAATAGCCGCGTTTTAATTAAAGCATAGATATGTGCAAGAAATGTAAAGGTCTGCAAAGGTGTTAGGACTTCGTAGAACGTGGAATTCGTTCGAAAGACACTCACTTTCTCATTCATTGCAGTCATAAGCGCGCAGACCTCTTGACAAAAATCTCAATGGACGAGTAACTATCCTTAATTAACAAAGTTCATTTTACTTATCGACGGTAGCACGTTCATATTTTCATTTTGAGTATGTTTAAAGAATATACCTATTTAACGAATTTTTATTATTGCATTAAATGGCTGTAAAAGTTTGGTCGATTTGGACGTGAAACACCTGTTTGCAAAATCTTCATTTATTTTTAAACTTCCTTTTATTTCAGTATTTCTCAATTGACTGGTAGATTAGAATTACAAAAAATTAGTAGTAGTAATTTAAAAAAAAAAAAAAACGGATGAACAATTATATTATATATTTTATAAAAGTAAATATAATTATAAAAAGTAAAATAACCAAAAAGCCAGAATGTTTGTCTATCATTTTATATATATTATATATATCTATAGTTATAATTAATATGTTAGTTATTATGTCGAGCTAGTATCTATCTATTTGACTCTATTATTAAAAAAAAAAAAAAGAAAAAGTCTTCATACATAATACAGGAATCGATAGATTTATTAAATTATTACTTAAAATTATTTTTTGATTATAATTTAAATTTGTTATTATAGATTTTTCTCAATCGTGATAGTATTTTGCTCTTCTACAGTTCACTGTTTTATACTATACAGAGATGTAACTCTTTGAAAATCAATGACCTCTATATAGGCTAATCGTGTGCACGTTTGAAAGAAGGTAGATATTTGCACGCTACACTTCGATATTTAATATCTTATAGAAAAACGTTAGTCCACAGTTACAGATTGTAGTCACGCAATTTCACTTATAAAAATTGAGAACACAGGCAAAGGTTACATGTGAAAGGTCAGTTCGATGAATTCTCAATTTAAATGGCAGTAGGTAGGAAATACTACAGTCAAGTTATGTCTTTACAAATAAGTTCAGTTAATTTTAATAATTTCATTTGTGCTTTAATTTAAATTACTGGCAAGAAGAGTTATCAGATACTTAGAAATTACCAATATTAGAACTACTCCTCGAGATGTGAATGTTACCTTGAATATTTTAAATATAATACAGCAGACACTTGGCGAATTTGCCTCCAAAAATTGGTAATTTTTCGAGATATTTTAATTA